ACAGCTAGAAAATCTGAGTGTATGTCTCTGTAGGGAGGGAGTCATAATGCATATATAATAGTAAAGAATATAACTTATTTCTCATTCAGAAGTGTTTGAAATACTTGCCCAAGAAGAAATGTTGCATTGGTAACAAATGTTGGAACCACACTTGAAACTGTCCATCTTACCACAAAGCCGAAGTTCTAGGTTGTTTCCTAGTTGAATTGTAAGCATTTTTCTCTCATTTATAATGAATGCTCCAGAACAATTATTTGATATACAACTGGCCTTCAGTTCAATGCATGTAGTATATATTATTTGACAGACCTCCAATTTTTAGATATCTAGGTTGATTCTATTTTTAAAAATTTAATTCTTTAATAAATCAAGTTTGTCATATGATTTTAAAGGCAGTGTTGATAAGAATTGATTGCAGGTTATGGAATGATTTATTCTATTCCCTATAACACCTGTATTTGGTATTCAGTATTCAGTAATGCTCTCATTCATCCTCTAATGAGTTTCTTAAATTCTGGCAGAAATAAGTACTCTGCATTTTTCAGGACTTTGCACTTTATTGAGGTCATTGACCCCATCTGGATTACATGTGCGGTTTCTTTAATCCCGGTCTACACAGAGCAGCCCGAGTATCCAATGTCCATCCACTAAGCACGACAGGCTGTCCTCCTGTTTGATATCCAGAAACTGACTGCCAACTCCAAAAGGAATCTTGGGCATCAAAGCTGATCCACCCCCAACACAAACCTTCTCAAAAGCTCTAGGTCATTATTTCATGGTGAAATTTGTTCAGGGCATGTAAAAAGCCTGAGGAGAAAGAAGTGAGAACTGACAGATTCTGTAATAAAGGGAAGAAATATTCAGAGAGCCAGCCTTCAGGAGAACAAGAAAAACAAGTCAATGAATTAAGAAGCCCATTGGGCAGGACACCTCAGAGGTAGAGAAGTAAAGGGTTTCAAGTTGTAAAAAGATGGAATTGCACAAAGACAGGAAACATCATGGACCTGAGACATCCCGTCACTGAAAACCAGTGGGGAGTCTCCTTCTCCCTCTGCCTGCCGCTCCCCCTGCTTGTGCTCGCTCTCTCTCGCTCTCAAATAAATAAAATCTTTAAAAAAAAATTTATCCTGTTAAAAAAATGTAAACACAACAACAAAAACTCTCAGAACAACTAATCTACCCTTCCTTTCTGTATTTTTCTGTTCTTCCATATTTCACTCCTATAGTATACGAACACTTTTTTTTTTAATCAATAGGGAAACAGAAGATGAGGCAGATAGGTGGGGCCCAGGATCTACATCTTCATGGTTATTATAGGACCCCTAGTGCCTACCCAGCTCACAGGGTGTTATCGGGATGAAATCACATCATATATGTGAAGTTGCCAACACAGTGCACCCCATAAC